CTGGCTGTTCAAACAGGCAGCATATCCTAGCGCCAATCTCTCACTTTCTCCTCATACCCTTACACAGTACTTTTAACCAAATGCCCTTCTTCAGTGCCTCAATTGAACCTGCCTCCACTACATTTCGAGGTAGTGCATTCCAGACCCTAATACATGAGTGAAAAAGTTTTTCCTCATTTTACCTTTGCTTTTCAAATCTATGTCCTTTTGTTCTTGTTCCTTTTTACAAGTGGGAACAGCCCTATCTACTTTATCCAGCTCGCTCATGATTTTGAAAAGCTCAAATCAAATCTCTTCTCAGCCGCCTTCTCTCTGAGAAGCCTAGTCCCAACTTCCTCAAATCTATCTTCATTTCTTAAGCTTCTCATTCCTGGAACTGATCTTGTAAACTGTTTCTACACTCTCTCCAATGCCTTCACATCCTTCCTATAATGAGATTCATGGAAAACAATACCCCTATCAAGAGGCAATTACACAGCAATAATATGCTGTCTGACGCTCAGTTTGTATTCTGCTAAGGTCACTCAGCTCCTGACCTCGTTACAGCCTTGGTCCAAAATTGAAAATGAGCTGAACTCCAGAAGATGAGGGGAGTGTGATTGCCATTAACATCAAGCTAGCACTGAAGACAGTGTGACATCAAGGAACCCCAGCAAAACTGAAGCCACTGGGGACTGGGGAAAGCTCTATGTTGGTTGAAGTCATAGCTAGCTCAAAAAAAGTTGGTTATGGTTGATGGAGGCCAGTCATCTCAGTCCTAGCTATTGTTACAAGCAATTTCTCAAGGTCCTAGGCCCAACCATCTTCAGATATTTCAACAATGATCCTACCTCCATCACAAGGTCAGAAATGGGGAATTACACTGATGTTTACAGCTCCTCAGATACTGAAGCAATCCCACAAGCAGCAAACCCTGCGCAGCATTCTGACTTGGTCTGTGCTAAGTGACAAGAAACACTCACATCACGCAATGGTTACCTGCAACAAGAGATGCTCTAACCATGTCCCCATGACATTCCATAGCATTACTATACCACTCTCACAATTTAATAATGACCAATTCTTATTGGGGAGGTGATGATATGTTAGTGATGTCACTAAACTAGTAATCCAAAACCCCAGGCTAATGTTCTGGGCACACAGGTTTGAATCCCACCATACTAGATGGTGAAAGTTAAAATTCAACTTTAAGAATGCTAGCTTAGTTATAAAACTGTGACTGTTGTTTATTGCTGTAAAAACCCATCTGGTTCACTAATATCCTTTAGGGAAGGAAACTGCCATCCTTACCTGGTTTGGCCTACATGTGACTCCAGACCCACAACAATGTGGTTGACTCTTAACTGCCCTCTGGGTAATAAATGCTGACCCAGCCACTGACGCCCACATTCCCATGAACAAATTAAAAGAGAGAAGCCTATTACTGACTAATGATAAATATTGATACCCTGCAGAACTCTGCTCTGTTCCTTTAAGATACTACTGTGGGAATTTTGTTAAGCATGCACCCGAGAGGAGATGCAGCTTTAGTTTAATGCTTCATACAAATCACTGTACCCTCAAACAGTGTAACATTCCATCAGTACTGCAATGGGATTATCAGCTTAGACAGTGCTCTCAAGTCTCTGAGGTGGGACTTCTAAGCCAGAAGGTTGAGGTGAAGGGTATTACCAATCAGCACTTCCTATTTGCATAGCTCTCTTGGGCTCGCAGACTGCTCTGTGACTATTAAACTAGAGAGTGTTGTGTCTTCTGAGATGCTATTGAACTGCCTTTACTTCCAGAACTGGAGCTTAGTTTAAAAATTAATTTAAAAGAGTGATTAAAAATGCAGATGGGCCTCAGGGGGCTCTTTTGTTTAAACTTCAGCTGTATGTCATTGCATCTTTGGATAAAAAAAACAATGGAAGCTCAAGGTCATTGTTTTAATAATTTGCTTCTCAGTCTTCAAAGAAATCCTAAGGAGGAAAATTTAACATCTAGATTCTAAAAGTAGACTCTGTCCTACTACTTTGTCAGGTTAACTACAAGATTACAGATTCACTTGGAGAATTAAGTGTTACAGTTTGCTTTGTGTTTATTCAAAGTGAATCATGTCTCAGCAACAATCATGAGATAAGAAATCTGCACCATCACGTTATCTGTTGTTATTCTTTCTGATGAAAGGTCATCAAGACTTGAAACATTAACTCTTCCTTCTCTTTCTCTCACCACAATAACAGCCTAAACTTGCTGAGTGTTCCCAGAATTTTGTTTTCATATCTTACCATCTAGGCACTCAAGGTATCTCTTAGCATAGAGACATAGAAAATAGGTGCAGGAGTAGGCCATTCGGCCCTTCGAGACTGCACTACCATTTGATATGATCGCGGCTGATAATGAAATTTCAGTATCCCAGTATTTCTCTCCATACCCCTGACCCCTTTAGCTGTTAGGGCCAATATCCCTTTGTATTGGCAGACGTCGAAATAAATCGATTAACAATCAAATTATCAAAATGTCCATTAGGTCTGACGTTGGCTGAGAAGGGACCTTGCCTTCTGTGCCTCACATGAGATGGCTCACAGTAATTGGAAAAGGTAAAGGCACCAGGGCTCCAGAGCACCACTCCCTCATTAAAGAGAAATGGCTGGGGCAGGTGTGGTTTAACTAGAGGGTCACCATGCCTCAGCGATGGGTAAGGATGAAGAGGAACAACATTCACAGTAACCTCAGCAGGCATGGCAACTGAACACATGTTGCTGGCCTCCTCACTCTGCATCGTAAACCAGCTATCTAACCAACTGAACTAACCGACAGACAAGGAACAGGAAATCTGGGTTAAAATGTAAGAACAGTCCTACCTACAGGAGCTAAGGCTGATCAGTTTCGGTTTGAGCAGGAAGCTGGGGTGTATGGGTTTGGACAATATGATTGAGCCTGAAATATTGAGAAATAATTTAACTGATTTTAAAATGTTTCCTTACAGGAGGTGATGAGGAATCCTAATCCTGTTCTGTATCCATTGATTCTTGATTCACAGCAGCGTTAGCAACTTTAAAGAAAAACTGATTTTGAGCTGACTGCAATATCCCCACGCCAGCAGCAGTTATTTTTAAATTAACTCATGGAATGCCAGTGACATGGGCATTGTTGGTATTTATTGCCCATTACTGGTTCCTACAGATCAGTGTGATCAATCCCCAAGTCTGTGGATGCAGATGGGTACCATGCTTTCCCCTTTGTACAGTGGTCTGCTTCTTGTTTGCAGTTTACAGCTCGTCTGGGCACTCAGCTCCTGACCTCATTACAGGCTTAGTTCAAACATGGACAAAACAATTGGATTCCAGAGATGAGGTGAGAGTGACAGCCCTTGATATCAAGGTCGCATTCCACCAAGTTTGGCATCAAGCAACCCTAGTAAAACTGGAATCAACAGGAATCAGGGGGTAAACTCTCTACGAGTTGGAGTCATACCTGGTTCATAGGTTGTGGTTGTTGGAGGTCAATCATCTCAGCTCCAGGACATCTCTGCAGGAGTTCCTCAGGGTAGTGTCCCAGGCCCAACCATCTTCAGCTGCTTCAACAATGACCTTCCCTCCAGCATAAGGTCAGAAATGGGGATGTTCACTGACATTTGCACAATGTTCAGCACCATTCCTGACTCCTCAGATACTGACCAAAAACCGAAGTTGCTGGAAAAGCTCAGCAGGTCTGGCAGCATCTGTGGAGAAAAATCAGAGTTAACGTTTCGAGTCCGGTGACCCCTCTTCAGAACCGGTCCTCTGATTTTTCTTCGCAGATGCTGACAGATCTGCTGAGCTTTTCCAGCAACTTCTGTTTTTGTTACAGCATCCACAGTTCTTTCAGTTTTCCTCAGATACTGAAGCAGTCCATGTTCAAATGCAACAACATCTGGACAATATCCAGACTTGGGCTGACAAGTGGCAAGTAATGTTCACACCCAACAAATGCCAGGCCAAGACCATCTCCAATAAGAGACAATTTAATCACTGCCCTTTGACTTTCAATAGTGTTACCATCACTGAATCCCCCACTATCCACATTGACTAGAAACTCAGCTGGACTTGTCATGTAAATATAGTAGATACAAGAGCAGGTCAGAGGCTTGGAATACTTTAGCGAGTAACTCACCTCCTGACTCCCCAAAGCCTGTCCACCATCTACAAGACACAAGTCAGGAGTGTGATGGAATACTCCCCACTTGCCTGGATGAGTGCAGTCCCAACAACACTCAAAAAGCTTGATACTATCCAGGACAAAGCAGCCCGCTTGACTGGCATTACATCCAGAAACATCCACTCCCTCCACCACCAATGCTTAATAGCAACAGTGTGTACTATCTACAAGATGAATTGCAGAAATTCAAAGCCCTTTAGACAGCACCTTCCAAACCCATGACCACTTCCATCCAGAAGGTCAAGGGCAACAGATGCATGGGAACACCATCTCCTGCAAGCTCCTCTCAAAAGACTCACCATCTTGACTTGGAAATTTATCGCTGTTCCTTTAGAGTCGCTGGGTCAAAATCCTGGAATTCCCTCCCTAATAGCATTGTGGATCCACCTGCAGCCGTTCAAGAAGGCAGCTTGCCACCACCTTCTCAAGGGCAACTAGAAATGGGCAATAAATGCTGGCCCCGCCAGCGATGCTCACATCCCACAAGTGAATAAAAAGACACATTGACCAGCATCGATGTGGAAAAACAAGAGGCAAACGACTGCCCATTGGCCAGTCCACAGCTGTGCCTCCTCAAATGGTGAAATACACATGAAAACTGGGTGCCACAGACCCCAGGTTATTCCTTCAGAGTAACTTGGAGGATGTCAGTTCCCAGCTGGGGGAGTGTGCCTCCCTACTCGATAGGAGTGGATAAGGAGGATAGGGCTGGGGGGAGCAGGGAAGACAGCCAAGTGTCATCCTAAGTAACACCTTTGCAATCTCTATACCTTGCCCACATTACAGAGTTGGAGGTAATCAAAAACAATGTGACAGATGGAGAAAATTATTGGCTTTATTGATGGTCTCAAACAATAAAAAAAATTAAACATCTTTCAAGAAAATGACTTTGTTTAGATAGCAAAGTTCTAGCGAGCTCTAATGAGTAGCTGGGTCTTCGACAGATTTGAACTACAACATTTAAATAAAATCTTCTTAAAAATAAAGACACCATACTATTTTTTTTTTAAACACAGAAACGATCAGAATCCAACCAGCTCAAAATTTACAATATAGGTGAACATTTAACAGCAAGGGATCCCAGATTCTAATCATCTCTGATCTGTTGACTATCCTGTTTTATTAATCATGACTGATTTATGATCACTGCTTGGGAGATGGAGAGAGACCAAAATGTGCTTTACCACAAAAACCCTTTGTTAAACAATACTCAGCAAATGAGCAACTCCCATCAATAGCAATTCCTAAGATTCATCCCTCAACTAGAAATCGATTCGATCTGTGCTCATTTCTTGACGAACTCCTTTGGAGACAGATAAAAGGTGTAAAAAAAGAGAAAAAGACAATACGTTTTTACAGCACTATCTGTTTAATTGTTTACCACCCAGCACTGTGTCTAATTTCAACACACAAGCCACAGATACGATGGAATAATTGCAGAAGAATGGTGAAGTTGCATTTTTCATCTGGGGGAAGAATGGCTTCAGAAACCAGTTCGATTCCTTTGAATGGATCACCTTTTTCTAAAAAAATAAACTTATGGAGCTGCAGTGTGAAAATCTGGCCCCACTCCATCCAGAATCACCAGGAAGTTGCATCTCTCTTATTCCCTACGCTGTGCAGTCACCCTCCTGGATAAAAAAAAAAGACTGCACAACTTCTACTTTTAGAAGAATCTACTAAACAGTAGCAGGTTAAACATTATCAACAAGTTAGAAACTACAAACTGGGGAGAAAAAGAGAGTCAACTTTGAACACAACTAAATAAACCAAGACAGAAATTATGCATCAGTTAGGGAAGAGAAGTTTCATTTGTTAAATCGTTTCTCTCCAGTCAAATTCCAAGCAATTTCACTACATGGGTTCAATTCCATTACGATGTGGGGAAGATCTCCATTCAAAAAGAGAGTGGAAGATACCAGATATTAGTTGCTATGCCCACATGTACCAGGGGCGAGACAGCAAGGTATCAACATTGGGATGGAGTGTCATCATTGAAAGAATTCATGAAAATCACAGCACACTTGTCGACAAGTCCAATATAGGTTTATCTCATTCTCGATATTATCGAATTCAGATTTCTGCCTCAGTTATCTTCTCCAAGGTACCAGTCACTTAACATTGAGCTGTTTCGAGTGACTCCATTTAGAATTCTTGCTTCTTTACAAGTCAATAATTCTCATCACCTATATCACAAACTTCCATCAAGTTGGACCCACCAACTTTTATTGATCAAGGCAATATGAAACAACTGTGCTTTAGCCTCAGCTACAGTTACCCTTGTTCTCCTCCCATCATCAGCACAGTTAGGCTTACAGAGTTGTGGCGTTGTTACAAAATAACAATTGTCACTTTTACCCAAAAATAATGGATTTTGCACATAGGAAGTGGATGCCAGAACACAGAAAGCCTGAACTAGGGAAATAGCAGAGCTCCAGTGATGGATCTGGGTTCAACTGCTCTTTCTTCATCCACAGTATTACACTCCATTATTCCAGTTGCACTACTGTGAGAAGGTGCTGAGCATAGACAAGGAGGCAATGTGCTCATCTCCTGTTACACCCAAAAAATTTGAAAATTGAAGGGTGGGTCATGCTCAGGTGTCCCAAGCAACACCAGTAAACGTTCTACCTCTCGTTCTCTTACTCAATGTACAGCTTAGGGAAACAAAAAGTCAAAAATCATAAAAATACAGAGGTGGAAACTGTCCCCTGTTCAGAAGGGATTGTTTGGGTTCAGTCAGGCCCAGAAATAATGGCCTTTGGGTCCACTTGGTGGAAAGTAGTGGCAAACTTGATTTCTGTTTTTCTTATGCATTTGCTTTGTCCTTGACTCTATCCAACTTATATGGCTGGCTTGCAGACACAAACTTAACGCTCAATTGTTAGAAGGGAAAGATCACTTAAATTGCTGAATGATCAGGTCAAAGATGGACTGAAAGGTGGTGATCCCCCTTTGGGGAGGAGTTCCTCTTTGGTGAGCTGAGCCTCAATCACTAGCTATATACAACTGTGCAATTTGGGATAGGGAATAAAGAACATGAGAACTGGTAAAGCAGAACACACTTTACTCAAACTTGAAGAGGAACATTAACCCCAGAAAAGAAAATCCAAGTATCGCTTCTGGAGCCTTTCCCTTGTCTCAGTTTGGTTCCTACAAGCCTATGGGGCAAAGATGTGTGATTACCAAATACGTTCACTTATCCCTCAAGATATGTTCATTGCCGGTGCCATGAAACACTGCCCTGAACAGGTCAGAAATCAATTATGGTTTCACCAATTAAGGTCAATTTGTCATTTAATTATTTTAAAAAAGGGAGCATTGAACAAGTTTACGGAGTTGGGGGCCAATTTCTTCTTTTCAAGTGTCACACCAATCCTGCCAGTTGGTTGTATGGAGGGATGATTGAGTGTGGGGGTGGGGATAAGGATAATTGGGTGGAGGGTGAGGAGGTGGGGTGTAATGGAGAGAGATAGAGCCTGAGCCAGGCCTCACGCTTTCACCACCCCTGACCTGATGAAATAAATGGAGATCCACTGGCTTTCCACGTGAACCCAGAAACGTGTTGAGCAGCTTGACTCTGGCTGGCCATTTACCTCGATTTCAGTGAAGAGTGCTAAAATTATCATTATAATCAAACTTATAATGACAGCCTGTGTGTTAAGAAGCACTCCGTAGTAATATTCTGAAGCTTACTAACATGGAGAATCTCAGTTACTACGAGGGGTGGAACTGAAACAAACGGCTTGGAGGTTTCCGCTACCGTACACAGGCCCTGTCAGTCTATCTGATCGCAGTGAGATGGGAGAACCAGTGGGTCATCATAGAGGGATCTCCTGCTGCCCACAGACCAGTGCAGCACCTCCAGCACCTGAAAGCCCATCGATAGCTCATCAATACCCAGCCCCTTTCACAGACATGGTGAACCCTTGGGTGAGGTCTGTGCACATAATGGTGAGGTGGGGGGGGGGGGGAGGGGAGGGGCAGTGGGGGTTGGGGGCCGGCCACCTCTGAAAGGGAGTGGAGGTGGGGGTTTGAAAATAAAAAAAAACATCAGTGGAAGCAAAATGATTGGGAAAGAAGCAAAACGGCTAAAGTGCAAAAGTCACGAGTCACATGCTCGTGCCACTAAGATTGTAAAATAAATGCAAGGTTCAGCTTCTGAGGATCAGAGGGAAAGGTGCATGTCAGCTCGAATCAGCTAAAAAGAGCTCTTGGCCAACTCTGGAATTCAGACTCCTTCCTAAGTAAGTGGGAGTTATTTCTGTGCTTTGATAACTTGTACAAAGAGTAAGAAGCCACAACAACTCAATAAGCCGAGCTGTAGCTAACCTTAATACGGATTTGCTTTACCATACACGCACACTTTCAACCTTCTGATGAAAATTCAGACCAGGCTTAGCCAAATTACTAAAATATAGACTCTTGACAACAGATTTACTGCACATTCAAAGTAGTTTACAGTACTTATTAGCCAGGAACAAGAAAGAAGACCTCTGTATATACATATGACACTTGCATAACAAGCAAAGATCAGTGTAGCAGCTTTCAGTAATAAATGGCCAACCTGCTGAGGTTTGTAAATGGCTCCTGTTCCCATCTCACAAAGAAAATACAGTTGGATGATACCTGCTTCTCGATCATTGCAGCAGGCAGCAAACAAATCTTCTGTATCCCCTTCATCCTCCCTCTCCACCACATGGCTCAGTAAGAAACCAGGCAGGATCGGCTGTTCCTTGCTGTGGTTAAATCCATGCTCGCAGTATTGACCCAGCTTCCAATGCCTCAACCCTTCATCCATTCTCTAATTCCAACCCACCTCCCCGACCTGAGCTAATTCCGTAGGAAAATAAAATCCACATTCATACCCATTCTTGGCACAATGAAGTTGGCACATCAACATGTTGATCCTTCCCCCCTGGCCTCCAGAAACAGAGTGTATAATAAGGGGATATTGAGGAACATGCACACATTCAAGATTGCATTGGTCTCAATGGGAGATTTAGACCTTTGGATGAGTCCCACATTCAGATTTCATCAAAATTACTTCAAAAAGAAGATCAACCCTCCACATCGCCCGATCAGTCACATAAGACTCTCCCAGTCGCGCAGAAAGGTTTCTTCAAGCCTCTGACATCTGTCTGGTCACCAAATCCCACATCACAATCACTGTCTGGAATGAAACTTTAGTGAACTAGAGTTTTGGTGAACTGGCAGCACTCAGGGGCTTCGTTCTGCCTGAGAGTGGGCAGCTATTCATCGTCATCCAACAACTCAAACGCAACTGGACATTGTGCAGTGTTTTAGAATTGTCTGGCCCCATCTTTGGTCTGGACTGGGAAGAATTGATGATGGGTGGGGGAGGAGGTGGTGTTGCTGGTCATTGAGGAATTAGAGAGCTGTAAGTATCCATGAGTTGAACATTCACCAGGACGAAGAGTTATAACCAAGTGCCAGGTCTCATCAAAAGGTGACTGCTTCACAGTTACCACTTCCAAGTGAGGAGTTCCATCAGTCCTTATTCTGGATGTTGATTAGAGGATCTCGAGCAAAGGAGCGCATGACTCTGGTCTTTGAGATCTGATCCATTGGGTAAATTTGGAGCCCGAAAACAGCAGTCCTCTGGTCTTCATTCTATACACACAATGTGGGTTTGGGCGATTATCAATGAGTTCCGACAGTTACACACGTCCCTGGAGGCCATAGAAGAATCGAGCTACTGGAGAAAGTAACGTTGAAGGGCTGTCTAACTGCTGGATATACAAAGCAGTCAGGCAGAGGCTGTGTCAACACCACGGCATACCAAAAACCGAAAAGGGATGGAAACTTCTACTTCTACCTTGAAGGAATCTTCTGATGAGGGACCGGTGACAAAACCCAATTATAGACCAACATTGAAAGAATGTACCCATTTTTCCAACAACACATGCCCCGACAGGAAAAGATCTGTTTGGCCAGAAAATAGGTTTCTAACCCTTCTTTCACTACCAAACCCCGACTCTCGTTGGCAGGGAACAGGGAAGATTTGCAAACCCCACACAGATTGGCCATTGTCTTTTAATGAAACCATTTACACAAGTGCTGAGTTAATAACAGAAAGAGCCAGCTTCAGAACCTCAACTTCAAGTATTACATTCTGTTCATAGCCGACAATCTCCTTCTTCCCTCAAAAGGCATACCTTGTGTTTTTTTATTTTTATATATATCTCTATATACTTTATAATATATCAAAGCCAAGCCTATGAAACTTTGGACATGACTATTTCTAGCTCAGCAATGTATTACAATAACTTGCTTAATAAAGTGCTCGGAGTCAGCAAAAAGTTCTAGACTTGACAATACTATATGCTAAAATACATTCTTCTTCTCCATAAGTGAAATTTTCAGCTTCTCCAAATGCTTTGGCCCCATTGAGTTATAAAACATAACAGCCTGGTTACAACCCAAGCCTATCCCCTACAGAGGGGGCAGTGCCATCCTCAACACCTTGGAGGGTTAGGATTCAGGCTTTTGAGTATAATTCAACTCAGAAAGCCCACATCCACCTTCCCGATACTAGACTTCCTGCCAATAGGACATTCCAGGGACAGTACATGGGTCAGACAATGTCAGGTTCAGCTAAACCAGTTTCCCATTCATTGTGCTCTGTCATGATTCGAGTGACCAAGAACGCCCTGCCCCATTCTAGCCTGACCCCTCAAAAAGGCAGCTTCGTAGTTAGACAACAAAACAAGGAAAACATTCAGACATTAATCGGCAGGTCAGAACAGTGGTTCCATTTACTTCCTGGCACTCGGTATTTTACTGAGTTCACGACATCAAGGTTCCAGAAACATCAAGTGCAATAACTCTTCAAAATAATCCCCTGTTCAAAAACAGCTTCTCCAACAGCCAACACCAGGGATTTCACTTTACCCAACAGGATGATATACACAGGCGAATGAATATTTGCAGGTTTAACTTCAACATGATAACAACAGCATTGAAAGGAATAGGAAATGGTTACATATTAATACAGAAACGTGTGTGTGGGAATCAGAGAGGGCAAGAGACAGAGCGACAGTGAGGGAGAGGGAGTGAGGGCAGGACAGCACGAGGGCAAGAGAGAGAGAGAGAGAGCGCGAGGGAGGTAGGACAAGGCAGAGAGCGAGGGAGGGCAAGAGACAGAGAGCGAGTGAGGGAGGGAGGTAGGGCAAGACAGAGAGTGAGGGAGTGCAAGAGAGACAGTGAGTGAGGGAGGGAGGTATGGCAAGAGAGCAAGGGAGGGAGGGCAAAAGAAAGAGCGAGGGAGGGAGGTATGGCAAGAGAGCGAGGGAGGGAGGTATGGCAAGAGAGTGAGGGAGCGAGGGAGGGCAAGAGAGAGAGAGCGAGCGAGCGAAGGAGGTATGGCAAGAGAGAGAGCGAGGGAGGGAGGTAGGGCAAGAGAGCGACCGAGGGAGGTAGGGCAGGAGAGCGAGAGCACGAGGGAAGTAGGGCAGGAGAGAGAGAGTTAGAGAGGTAGGTCAGGAGAGAGAGAGTGAAGGCAAGAGAGAGCGCGAGGGCAAGAGAATGGGGAAAGGAATTGTGGCAGAAAGTGGACCTACAATGTCTGTGGAACAGCTTTTCCAATTTCTTGACTGCATTCAGAAAGCAACTTAAAACTGCACAGCTCTGAAGAAGGTGATATTCAACTCAAATGTTAACTATGTTCTTTTTTTTCTCCAAAGCCAGATCTGCTGTATTTCCAACACCTCAGGTTTTATTTCAGATTATGGCATCTGCAGTATTTTGCTTTTAATTAAACTGCACAGGGTTGTTAAATCAATTGGAATTCTCTAACTGCCTTCGGTGCTGTCACTAAGAGCCAGTTGGGAGCCATAGACTAACAAGTATTTAAAAAAGAACAAAGTTCCAATTTAAAAAAGAAACAATTTGAAACTTGCGCTACATTCTCATCAAAGCATGAACCTAGTGGCCAGGATATATTGTCATTGTGAGGTTAAAGGATCTCATAGAGTCATAGACGTGCTATGATGGAATGGGAACAGGAGGAGATTTATTCTTTAACCTTAGTCCCACTTACACCATGTCAGGAATGGAGGTTACACAATGAAAACCCTTCTAACAGACACTCGGGAAGATCTAATTACTGAGATCACTGTCCCTCACTTTCTCCCAGTGTAAAAGGTTTGAGGAATTCCTTTGATAACGTACTTTCTTGCCTCACTGAGTTTTGAAGTAGATTTCCCCTCAATCAGCCCTGGGGGAGAAGAGTGGAACTTTGTCACTGCCATTTCTCTGTTCCTTCCCTTAATCCTTGTTTGCAATTTACAGTCGTGGTTCATTGTTCAGGTGGCCGTTGGAACTTGCAGGTGGAGGTGGGCTAGGAATGTGGTAATTTATTAAATTCACAGAATGGAAAATGAACCACTTCCAATGTAAATTACAGCAACATGGGTACAGGGGGCAATCTCATCCAAGGATTTCACTCAGCCCTTTTGCATTTCGAGATTGCAAAGTCTAGATAAAGGCTGAGCAAGGACAACGAATGAGAGAGTGAGTGAGCATGAGAGAGAGAGTGCAAGTGAACGTAGCTAGTGAGAACTCATGGGGAGACATGGGAGGGGTGCAAAGGTGGAGGGGAGAGAGAGAAGCAACTGGAGAAAGAGAAAGACAGGGAGAATGCAAGGGTATGGGGAGACAGGTAAAGAGGGAGAGAGATGAGACAAGGGATGGGAAGGGTAAGAGAAAGAGATGGAGAAGCAGTTGGAGTGAGAGTGAGAGAGAGTGAGAGAGAGTGAGAGAGAGATGGGGCAAGAGGGAGACAGAGAAGAGGAAGTGAAGGAAAAAGAGAATGATTAAGAGGGCATATGGCAAGTCCTGGGGTAGGGATAGTGAAGGGAAACGGGTATAGAGTAAGGGGATTAGAAAGGGGGCAAAGGTGGGGCATGGATCAAGTTGAAGGGGAGTTGGCAAGGGAACAAGAGAAAGGAGGGTGAGGGTATGGGTTATTGACTCAGCAATGAATTGTGGAAGGAGGCGAGGTGGGTGGAAGGGAGAAGGAAGGAAATGATGGAAAGAGGGAGGGGCTGGGCATAAACAGAGGATGTAAGATTTTGAGATTTTCTAATCAATCTGTTTGGAGATTTTACTACACATTTTTGGAAGAAGTGGGACTTGAACACATTCCTCCTAGCCCAGAGGTAGGGACACTACAACTGCACCACAAGAGTCTTCACGTGATTTTTAGACTGGCTGTAACTGGACTGGTTTGCATTCTCGCTGGTAAGTGAAAAGGAGGTTTTCCTGTTTTCGGAATCAGATTTGAAGGGCTTCACCAGAATGTGGCCTATGGTGTTAAAAACATGTCAGAGAGAGCTCACACCGATCACCCTGAGAGGCCGATGACATTACAAACAGCGTAGGAATCAGGCTTCAACTGGGCCCTTCTCTCTGAAGGCCAGAGAACATGGCAACGTTTTATCTTGGGGAAAAAAAATTATGCCTTTCTTACTAAGAAATGTCGTCCAGTGAGGCAGGAGGGAAGGTAATTGCTTTAATAAAATCAGTAAGTGCTGAAAAAAGAATCAGCAGGTCTGGCAGCACCTGGGGAAATCAGAGTTAATGCTTCAAATCTGAATCGACTCTTCTTCAGAACTCCAGCATCAGACTCGAAATGTTAGTTCTGTTTCTCTCTCCATAGACACTAACAGATCTGCTGAGTTTCTCCAGCATTCTCTGTTGCGTTTATTTCAGATTGCCAGCATCCGCAGTGTTTTGCCCGTGCTTAAGGCTTTTGTGGAGAACTTTCTTTTTTAGCCTTTGGCCTTCCTGCACCCTCCCGACCTCCACTCCTCCTCTAGCCCCCAGTGCCACCTGCAATGTACTGCAGCTAGTTTCCTTCAAACTTCGTGCTGGATTTCAGAGCTGGAGAAGAGGAGACAGAATGAACCAGAGACACAGCCCAATCTTCTTTGAATGCTGTTGCAAGTTAGTTATTTTCCAATTGCCTGCAATCTCCAATCATGTGCAGGGGTGGGGTGAAATCTGCCCCTGCTTTTTGCTGCTGAACCTTCTCTTTCTAGCTGCCCAGGAGCAGTCAGTTCAATAAAGCTACAGGCTTTTGATTGACTGGTTGGTCTCGGAGGGTATACCTTACCCATAGCTGGGATAGGTTGGCTGCCGTACCCAGTGAGATACCGTTGATGATGGATACGGAGGGTCTTCCCAAGGGATATCCTGGGGCTCTTACAGAGCTGTCCAGGCAGCAGGCAAAGCCCTCACCCCGCCAACAGCCAAAAATCACTTCTGTAACAACAGACAAGTCTGCCTGTATCTGTTCATTGCCAAAGTTCCTCTGGCTAGGCATGGTTTCCCACTCCCTGGGGCCTTTACACAATCTTTACACACCAGAAAACAGCAGCTTCGGGGATAACAACTTTAAGAAACAACTGCACCCCATTCAGATTTGTCTTTGCCTTCCTGGTCTTCACCTATCCCCTAGCTCAGGGAATCGACTCGGTCCTTGGTGGGTTTAGTATGCATCAGTTGCCCTCTCTGCTTCCAAAGTCTAAATGGCCACTATTGAAGAGGAAAGCTGGTCCAAGAGAGTGGGTGAGTTATTCCTCCACCAGGGATATCTAACCCAGGTCTGTTTTCCTTCCCCCTAAGCCTGATGAATGGAGAGCCAGTTCGGAAACTTGTTGAGTTCCAATTCCATCGTAGCCGGAGCCCAGGACCAGTTCCAAAGCATGGGAGGCTGTTTAAATATAGAACAAAGATTTTGAAAACAGGGGCAAGTCACATCTGATGTGGGACATCTCACTCCAGCCTGACCTCAATGTCAGTCAACTCTTGGTTTTCCTGAAGAAAACAAAGCCAAAAAAAAAAACAAAACCGCAGTCGAGGAGAATTTTGTTGCAAGATGCACATTCATTACTGTCCTCAAGAATACCTCATGTCTAGTGCCCAGCTCTGCGCCTCACCATCTCTCACAGATAGGACTACGTTAACTGTCAGTAGCTAAACTTTATTTGGAAATTCTCCCCCTAATCCCAACCCTACCCCCCCCCCCACTTCAGAGAAAAAAAATAAAGTCTGTCACCCAACACCTGTAAAAGTGATTTCTCTTTTTGTGTCTGTTTGTAAAGTTAAAGTGCTCATTATTTATAAAACATTAAATCACAGGAACTACAGGGAGCCACCCAATTCCCGATTCACAGTATCCATTGAATAAAGTCTGGTCAAGTCGTAAGTTCTACATTCAAATGCATCTACGATAAATCACCGGACGTTCCTTGACCATGCGCCACTTTCACTGTGTCACCAAGGCAACCAATATTCCATCACTCCTTCCACAAATCCTAACACCTCCATACCACCCCCACAAATTGACTTTCCCCTCAGTCACCGAAATCTTCCCATAGAAACACCGCTACACTCCTGATCTTCCAGGACGGTGTGTTTTTTTTTGGTGTTGGGGGTAGAGGGAGGTGTGGGTTGATGGGGTGCAGAGACATATAAAACATTACACTCACTTTGAAATCAAACGTTCTCCTTAAATAAAAAGGATGCTAATATCTGGAAAATGAATCATGAGAGTTCAGTGGAGGCTGGATCATTTCAGAGGGTCATGTTCACCCACCATCAGAATTGTTCTGAAGCAACCAAAGTCTCCCTCGAGTTTGACCCAGCAACCAATGTGCCAGCTCCCTGTGCCCTCTTTCCTCAATCACTTGTTGAAAGGCGAAAAGAAAATTAAAGCAGCTCGATCTGCTATTCTTACCAAATCGTTGACATTTACTCGTGCCCCTTACTGCCATGAGCTTAAGCACCCTATAATTGCCCAGGGGTCATTCCCCAAGGACACAAATTGGCACACAATGTATCTCCCAGGCATGTCGACATCAAGGGGCACAGGGTGGCCAGAGCAGGGAGCAGTGATGAAGTGGGTGAAGACAGGGATTCGGGAGAGAATGTCAAACTCTTCCCCAAATCCCTTCACCCTGCCAAACACCAAAAAAAAACAAAATTACAGGTAGCGTAAGGGTGCTGCAGAAATAGTGACTTCTTTTCTGTTTGCTTTCCCCCTTTCCTCCTGTTTAATAACATCCCGTCATTAAGGACAAGTTTCGAATCGAGGACGACACTCATGATGGTCAGCTCAGTCCTGCAGCTGACTCTCCAGCTGACACCTTCTCCAGAACCTCGTTCACAAACTCCGATGTTTGACCTGCCACAGAGCAGCCTGCAACAAAAAGACACGAGAGTCAGGGAACAGGTGAGTCAGCATTCCGCCCGGATACAGATTCATTTGAAAAAATAAATTAATTAAGATGTGCTGGAGGTGGCTCAGCATCTGCAGAGAGAGAAAAACAAGTGTTAAGCTGGAAACAAAGCACTGGAAATCACAGCAGGTCAGGCAGCATCTGTGGAGAGAGGGCGAGCTAACGTTTCGAATCCAGATAACTCTGGGCACTGTGACAAAACAGTGTCAAGATGTGATCCCAGGGTGACTTGACTTTCTGTTGATGTCAGTGAAGAGTAATAAAAGGTAAAAGGATAAAATCACCATAGTCCTATTGGACAACAGTGCTGCTCTCTCATTAATTGGAGGGTAACCGCATCTCAGGGGAGAGGGGGAGGTTGAGGAGAGTTCATCACGTTAACCTCAGGTGGTGCAGGAACTGAAACCACATTGTTGGTATCACTCTCAATTCCATCCAGCCATCCAGTCTACTGTGCTAATGTAATATTGGGCCAGTGAGTTCATTTTTTTGGAGGTACTTTAATATTCCTTTCATTAGAACCTTACTTGTTTAAAACAAAATTCAATTCTTTGTTCATTTTGATTTCAAAGGAAAATGAGATGGAGGCTCGAGGGTAATAAACCTGTAGGGTGCCAGCAATAGAGCAGGGACTGGAACAGACTGGTGTGCTGTACAGAGAGCCAGCGAGATGGTCACTCCTCAAGGAAGATTCGAGAGAATTGTTGCAAATCATGATTTTCAATCCAAAGGGCACAGATTGAAAGTGATCAGTGAAAGAATCCGGGGCGACATTAGGAAAAGCATATTTAGGCAACACACAGTTAGAACTTGCAATGAGCTACTGGTTAGACTGGCAGTCAGATATAATGGGAGTCAGATGCAGAATAGTGGGCACGTTAGACTAACTCGGTTATTCTTCAAAAGATCTAGGATGAGTTGATGGGCTGAATGGTCTCCTACTCTGCTGTACTATCCTATGCTTACCTAAGAAAGGATTTAACAGACGGAGTACAGCAAAGGTTCAGGAGACTGATTCCTGGGATAGCACGTTTGTCATATATTGTATGTTGTTTTGGCCTGCATTCACTGGAACTTAGCAGGATGAGGGGGATCTCATTGAAACATGTGCAATTGTAACAGGGTTGGATGAATTGGATACAGAAATGATGATCTCCCTGATCCAGAACATGGGGGTCACAGTCCAGGAATATGCAGTACGCCATTTAGAAACCGAAATAGGATGGTGAGCTGGTTGAATTCTCTACCACAGAAAGTACCGGAAACCAAGTTTATAAACTGCATTTTAGAGAAATATAGGCAGACTTGAAGAGACTAAAGGCAGTTGGATTATGGGGACAGTATAAGAGTATGGCATTAAGATATTTGGAGCATTCAGGAGGAATGGAAGCAGAAGAGCAAATCATCCCAACTTAGAGCAGAATTTGTATGACAGAGCTAGCAAAGATTAAAAAAACTCAGTACAATTACAGTTATTTTAACAGTACATATAAAGGTACAGTGGAGTAGTGATTATGTACCTGGAGTAACAAACCTAAGGACTGGACAAATAATCTAGACAACACAAGTTCAAATCCCATCGTGGCAGAAAGAATTTAAAAAAAAAGACAATACTAATGAAAATAAAATGAAAATTAGGTCTCAGTATAAAATGGTTAGCTTTTGAGAAGTGCACATATCAACCACCCCCAATCTGGCTGTATATGTGACTCCTAGTCACATAGACAGTAAGACAACTGACTCTTAATTGCAAACAAAAACAGAAATTCCTGGAAAAACTCAGCAGTTCTGGCAGCATCTGTGGAGAGAATCTCAGAGCTAATGTTTCAGGTCCAGCGGCCCTTCCTCAGGACGGGTTAAATGCTCTTAATGACTCTTAAATCATTTGGCTGTATCAACCTTAGCAGTTTAATAAAGCAATCCACCAAGTAGGGACATGTAACAAATGCCTGCCTTGTCAACCATCAGCCATGACCTTACTGAAAGGCAGAGCAGGGCCGAGGGGCCGGGTGGTCTAAGACCACACACGTTATACTGAAGGTCCAAATATCTTCAAAGTTTCTTTCAATTTTTCATTCACGCGGATGTGGGCATCACCTGCAAAGCCAGCATTTATTGCCCATCCCAGTTGCTTTCAAGAGGATGGTAGTGAGTTGGCTTCTTCAATACAACTGGGCAGTTTGCTCGATCACTACCGAGGACACTTAAAGAGTTAACCACCTTGCTTTTGGTCTGGAGCCGTATGCAAACCAGACAAGGCATGGATGGCAGATTTCCTTCCCTCAGGAAATTTTCTTTTCTTAATTCTTTCGAGGGATGTAGGCATTGCCAATGAGGCCAGTATTTGTTACAAATCTCTGATTGCCCTTGAACTGATTGGCTTGCTAAGCCGTTTCAGAGGGTAGTTAAGAGTCAACCCAGATGGGATTTCACTGCCAACCCTTAGTTGCATTATCATCTGTATTGATATTGGTTTTTAAATTATAAATTTATTTAACTAATCTGAATCTTCGCAACTGATAGGAGATCAATCTGTGGCCCTGGATTATTAGCCCAGGCTTTGCATGACTAGCTCAGTGACACAGGAGAGGTGGTGATGGCCTAGAGGTATTACCGCTGGACTGTTAAGCCAGAGACCCCGATAACGTTCTGGGAACCTAGGTTCGAATCCTGGAATTTGAATTCAGTTTAAAAAAATCTGGATTTAAGAGTCTAATGATGACCATGAATCCATTGTCGACTGTCAGGAAAAACCCATCTGGTTCACTAATATCCTTTAGGGAAGGAAACTGCCATCCTTACCTGGTCTGGACTACATGGGATTCCTGACCCACAGCAATGTGATTGACTCTTGACTGCCCTCTGGGCAATGAAGGATGGGCAATAAATTCTGCCTGGCCAGTGACCATCCCATGAATGAATTAAAAAAAAACTCAGTGATCCAACAGGAAGGTTTCTTCTGAACCTCACTGCAAGCCCCTGATCTAAATTCCTACCCATTCCCTCATGCTGAGGAGCTTGCATGATAAAAGAACAGTCAGGGACATCAGGCTTAGTCCCATGGTTCTCCAAATTCCAATGACCTAATGACAAAAGTCCTTCAGTGCCTACGCATGGAGGATTTGGCAGCCTAGAGCTGTAACTGAGTATAGGTTAGAATAGTCAGTGCAGGAGGGAGATAAGTTAATACAAGGCAGCTAGACAATGATTAGAATCTGGCGTCAGTAATTCCAACAGAAAGTTCTCCACTTAGAAATTCCTGACAGAAACCTCACACCTTAATAAAGAAAAAGGATCATTCCCACTTCGTACAAGGCTAAAAGGACACTTTTGATTTCCATGCTAAAAATAATCACAAGGCTGCTTCAAACGTCTACATTTTTCATGGCAAATTATTAATTCTTATGTCCCCTTCCCCTCAAATGATCATCCCTCTTTAAGTGGAGGATGATTAAAGCTCTAACGTATAGAATGTGACTAACCACATAGAATGTATTCACAGGCCCAAGAAACAGCACAGACACCAGCTGTTATGTCTGACTTAGAGTCACAGACCCTGTACAGCACGGAAACAGACCCTTCAGTTCAAACTGTCCATGCCAACCAGATATCCTAAATTAATCCAGTCCCATTTGCTAGCATTTGGCCTAAACCCTTCCTATTCGTATACAACATTTAAAAGGCATCTGGACGGGTAGTTGTACCAGCCTCCACCACTTTCTCTGGAAGCTCGTTCCATACAAGCACCACCCTCTGCATGAAAATGTTACCCCTTAGGTCCCTTTTAAATCTTTCCCCTCTCACCTTAATCCTATGCCCTCTACTTTTGGACTCCCCCACCCTGAGAAAAGAGCTTGGCTATTCACCCTATTCATGCCCCTCACGATTTTATAAACCTCTATAAGATCACCCCTCAGCCTCCGACGCTCCAGGGAAAATAGTCCCAGTCTATTCAGCCTCTCCCTATAGCTCAAACCCTTCAACCCTGGCAACATCCTTGTAAATCTTTTCTGAACCCTTTCAAGTTTCACAACATCTTTCCTATATCAGGGAGACCAGAACTGAACACAGCATTCTAAAACTGGCCTAACTGACGTGCCAATCAGATACTGGAACCTTCCACTGCAATGTCTGCTCTATCCTAGGGCAAGGCAAGACATGACCCAGTACAGAGCAGGAGGCACTTCACTGCTCTCTTTCCCTTCTGGTACAAACCAGCCACTGGTGCCTTCGATTTCTAAGATCGTTCCAGTTCAAAGCAATTATATTCTTTTGATATCTGGATCCAAACCACTGAACTGTGAAATTCTCCAGTAATTGATCGAAACACAGCCTCAACATTCTACCCTGGAGCATCCGCAAGGAAAAGAAATGCTTAATGAAGTGTTCAATCGCAAGATGTACTGCTGATCGCCTGTTGCTCTCTGAAATGCAGGAACATAAGACAGAGGAACAAAAACAGCTATTCCCAACACAAACAGATTATGGCAGGCCAGCTAAATAAATGCCACTTCCTGCTCTATCTTCATATTCAATATCATTCGTATCCATAAACCTACTGAAATTTGCCTTGGCCATACTCAATGACCTAACCTCTTCACCCCTCGGAGGAAGAGATTCACTGCTCTCTCAGTGAAGAAATTCCTCCTCTCAATCTACAGTGGCCTACCTATTATCCTGAGATTCTTCCCCAGTTTCTAGATTCACCAGTTGGGAATCAAACTATTAAAATCTACCCTGTTCATGCCGTACAAGAAAGTGATAAGTTTCAGTGAGATCACCTCTCATTCTTCAACAGTCTAGAGCATACAGAATCAATTTCCTCAAGGTATCCTGTTAAGACAATCCTATCACCCAGGGATGAGTTTGATGAAACTCCATTGCACCACCTTTATGACAAATATATCCTTCCTTAGATTAGGAGACCAAAACTGCACACCATGATCCAGGTTTGGTCTCA